GGGCCATGCTATGCCTTCTCCTGAGCCCAAGTCCAAATGCAGGTGTCCCAAGTGTGCAGGGTGGCTTCCACCAGCTGGGCAGTGAGCACTTTTTCAAGAGATCCGTCCCTTCGAGTCCTCAGCCAGGAACAGAGCCGTGGGCAACGTGCAGCTGCAGCTGCCCGCGTGTGGACCAGGCTTTTAAAGATGGCATTGAGGTGGACAGGCGAAGTAATTCCAGCTGCATCCCTTGGAGAGAGCAAGCGGGAACTGGGAAGGCCGGCTCCCTGGCAGGAAGCAGAAATCTACTTGGAGCGCTGTCAGCCCAGAGGGCCTGTCCAGACCGTGCTGTGTGGAGTTATGGGAAGCAGGCTCCAGGAAACCGCTTTCTCAGGCTTTCTGCTGTCCTTGGCCTTCACGTCACCCTGGCATCAGCCAGCCCAAGCTGTCCTGTGTAGAACATGCCTGGGGCCTCCTAGCCAGTCTTATCCTTCAGTTCCAGTTCGCAGCAGAGCCATGGCTTGTCCATCTGGCCTGGCCTGTATTTTCCACATGTGTTGTCCAGGCCAGTTTCCGCCATCAGCAAAGTCCTTTTCATCGCGTCATAAATCTAATGGAGGGAACAAATGCACAAAACAAAACCCACACAGTTTCAGTGCATGGATTTGTGTTGGATGGGAGTGAAAGGAGGGAAAGTTGATTCAGAGTCAGAAAACACTGAGTTCACTGGACATCTGCTGATTGACTTCTGTGTTTCCCCCTGTGCTAGGAGCCAGGGAGGCCACAGTTGTCCCTTCTTTCAGGCGCAATACTCTCGGGTGCAACAGTCTCTTTTTCTAAAGCAAAACTGACTTCTGCTCTAAAGCAAGACGTTTCTGGACCTGCCACTTAGCTGTCCTTGGGCGTGTAGAGCGGGGACGGGGAGTGGGGGTGGCCCTGATGTCTTTCTTACTGACTCATTTGATGATTACACCATTGTTTGAAGGGCTGGATGTTACATAAGGAACACTTTACCCCTCCCCTATCTTTCCCTCCTAACAATCTGGGATTTTCCATCATTTTTGTCAACCTTCCTGGAGGCATGTTGATTTTTCCACTAGATTTTTTTTGGGGCATGTCCCAGGGCAACCCAAACTCTCCACTC